TATATATATATGTATATGTATATATTTTAATTTTATATCGTTACTTAACATTATGTAATTTATTTCTTTCGCATACACCGATAATAACGTGTGTGTAACTTTAACATGTTCACTGATAATTAACAAATTTCAATGAACTGTAAAAAAATTAGATAAGAAAGATTTTTGTTCTCTTTTTTTCTTTTTTTTTTTTTAAACAAATTGCGATATCGCAGAATAGCAAAGTAAAAATATAATAAAAATTCGGAATTATGCAATTGAAAATGAAATGTTATTTATGTTCATGTTAGTGAACTTGTTAATTGTTAATTGTTATATTTTTAATTTGTAATTTAATAATAGTGATATGGTAGTTTTAAGAACACAATAATGGTGCTAAAAAAAATATTGTATAGATTTGATTTGATTTTAGACAAAAAATTTCTATTCACATTTGAATAATAATTCGATGAAAATCCAGTACTATTATTATCGAATAGTAATTTATTAAATAACATTGTGTATCGATGTTATTAAAAATTATTCATGTTAATGATTTAAAGAATTGAAAAAGAATTTAAAGAAGATAATAAATTATTACGATTAGTGATACAACATTTGATGTATATTTTTATCTTTTTTTTTTTTTTTTTTTGAAACATTTGTATAAAAGAAAATAAATATAAATTGATATAATTGTATATAATGATTGAATATTATAATAAAATATCAAATTATTACGAGAACTATGTGCATTATAAAGAAATGTTGTTTTTTTTTTTTTAAATGATTATTTAATTTTAAATGTTTGAAAATTTAATAATAAATTGTTTTTATAAATTAATTAATTAAATATAATATAATATTTAATAATTAAATGTTAATTTTAAAGTTACAAACTATGTGCATAAATGAAATGTTTCTAAAAATGATTATTTAATTTAAAATGTTTGAAAGTTTAATAATTAAATATTAATAATAAATTATATTTATAAATTTAATAATTATCTTTTAATTTTAAAGCTACAAACTATGTGCATAAATGAAATGTTTCTAAAAATGATTATTTAATTTTAAATGTTTGAAAGTTTAATAATTAAATATTAATAATAAATTATTTTTATAAATTTAATAATTAAATGTTAATTTTAAAGTTACAAACTATGTGCATAAATGAAATGTTTCTAAAAATGATTATTTAATTTACAATTTTTGAAAGTTTAATAATTAAATATTAATAATAAATTATATTTATAAATTTAATAATTACATTTTAATTTTAAAGTTACAAACTATGTGCATAAATGAAATGTTTCTAAAAATGATTATTTAATTTAAAATTTTTGAAAGTTTAATAATTAAATATTAATAATAAATTATATTTATAAATTTAATAATTACATTTTAATTTTAAAGTTTCGATAATCAATGTGTTCATGTTTTGTGTACATTTTTAAAAAATTTTTTTTTGAAGTTTTTGATTTATGTGCAACGTTCAACATTTTTCTTTACTGAGAAGTTTAGAAATTCGTGTAACATAAGAAGAAGAAGAAGAAGAAGAAGAAGAAGAAGAGGATCCATGGTGTGTGTTCATACTGTGAGACCCTAAGGACTAAGGTCTGACTTTTATCAAACCCTCATCTTTTTTTCTCCCCCCTGATTCTTTGACGACAATGTGTACCTAAAAGATTTTTTTTTCCCCCTCCCCTACTTTCCTTCCTTTAACAAAAAGCATTCCATTGGAAATTCTTGAAACCTTCCTGAGTCATCGAACGAAATACAACTGATATTTTCTTTTTTTTTTCTTCAAATCTATAAACCAATCAGTTTCATGGACGTTAGTATTTCTATCCAATAACGAAGAATTATGGTATCTTTTAAAGAAAAAAAAAAGTAAAAAAAAAACTGATTGGCTATGCAAAAGAATAAACGCAGTATGGAATGTGGAAGGGGTGGGTGAGTATAAGTAGAAGGAAAATAGACAAAATCTGGAAACAGCGATCACATTTTATCCAGACAGCACTTACGTTAGTTTGGAAAAGTCTCCCTTCACGTTTAAAATTGTTTTGTTTAATTTTGCAAAGTAGTTTTGTTAATTTGAATTTGGTTATTTTATTAAATATTATTCGTGGGTCATCTGTACGAACTAGTATTGAAAAAACACCAGGGTCTTGAGAAGGGTAAGTTACTGATGAATTATTTTTGGTTTTATTTTAAATATTTAATGATTTATGTTAAAATGATAAATGGTTCAAATGGTTTAATCTATGGTTTAATCTTAAATTAATTGTACTTCACTTTTGTTAAAATTTCAAAGAATCTTCTATTGAAATTATTTTTTTTATTTGAGTATACATTAAGAATTGAAATTATTAGGAAATTGTGTTTATCAATTGCTTTATTTTTTCATATATATAATAAAAATATAAAAAATATAAAATATAATAAAATATTATATGTATATTAAATATTTTTAAAAATATTGTATTATATTATTATTTAATATATTATATTATATTACTTAAATTATTTAAAAGCAAAAACAAAAAAAAATAAAAAAATAAATATATAATTATTGTATTATATAAAATAATATTTATTATATGTAATTTTATTAATATATATTATAATATAATAAAATTATATTATATTATATTATAATATTATTTTTTATTATATTTTATATTCTATATAATTATATAAAATATAATATATAATAAAAAATTTCTTAAATATTATAGAAAAAATATTAAATTATATTATATTATTTAAAAAAACAAATATTATATATATTAAATATATTTATATATTATATTATTTAAAAACAAAAACCAAAGAACAAAAAAATAAAATTATATAAATATATATATATATTAAAAATTTGTTGATACACATGGGTGTACTCGTGTATAAAAATATCTTGAAATTATGAAAAAAGTTACGTTTATCTTTTCAGATTATATATATGTATATATATATATTATCTTATATCTTATATGAAAAGATAAATATGTATATTTAAGAAAAAAGATAGCTTTCCCATCATGAATTTTCTATCATAGATTTTCATTTATTTTCTCAACCATTTCTAACATGATATCATTTATCTGAAAACCTAAACAAACCATAAAAGGAAGTAATACTATCGCACATGGTTCCGAAGATTTAGGTATCCGAAGAAGAAGAAACTGACGACGTATACCTGAAAAAAATTAAAAAAAAAAAAAAAAAAGAAAATAAAAATCATTTCAACATTAAATTGTAATATTTCAAATATATAAACGAAAAACAAAAAAAAATTGGTTAACAATTCAATCCAATACGATGGGGTGTAGAAACATTTTCCAAAAACAATTATTTCAACTCGTATCCCGAAACTACCCCTATGAAATAAATATTAAATATATTTTTCAAATGTGTCTTATATTTAAAAAAAAAAAAAAAAAAAACATTTTTCAAAGAACTTGATTTGTTATTAATAAAAGATATGTTTAATCAGTGATATTAATTTATCCTGATTATAGTAATCATCGTCCATTAATGATAGAAGCTGTACGTACACGTACGGTTTATAAAGTACGAAGTTCAATTTGAAGAGAACGCGATAATAATACGGTCTCTTTACATTACCATTTCATTTGTTATCTCGTTTATGCTTGAACCATCATTATCACGGAGCAAGCTGAACCGATAACAACTCAACCAAGAATTAATGCTGAGAAAGTGCTGCCACTTAAAGTGCCGTTACTTGTACATACGTCCGTTAGTCTTCTTCGGTCCTTCAATCTGGCTTGCCAACGTTACTCTTCTTCTATCATAATATGTATGTATATTAACATAAATATATATAGATATAGATATAGATATATATATGTGTTAACACATTACAACAATTTTATTGCGTTAAAATAAAATTGCACTTTTTTTTTTTCTACAATTTATTTTTATATTCATACATTTTGTTTTTGTTTTTTTATTAAAATATTTATTTTTGATTGATCTACAAAGGTATGGAAGAATATAATAATAATAATAATATATTAATATTTCGTTTATTTAAATTAAAAATATTTAAATATAATATATAATATTGTTATTAGTTTATTGTTATTTATTTTTGTATGGAATATTATAAATAATAATATATTATTTATATGTTGAAAAATATTAAATGCAAAATATTATTTTTTTTTTTTATTACAAATATGTGAAATTTAAATTTGTTTTAATTATTTAAATTATATATATAATATAATATAAATAATATTAATTATAATATATTATTTATATGTTTAAAAATATTAAATATTAAATATTATTTTTTTTTGGTTACAAATATCTTAAATTTTAATTTGTTTTAATATTTAAATTGTATATATAATATATTATAAATAATATATTATTTAAATATTTAAAAATAATAAATATGAAATATTATTTTTCTTATTACAAATATATGAAATTTAAATTCGTTATAATATTTAAATTGTAAAATTTGGAAATGATATTTTATACATTGAATGATCAATCATATATATATTTATATATAAGACATTAATATTTGTTTTATGTAAAACTATATTCTATTGAAATAGTATGCATTTTGAATTTACGAAATTGAATATCCCCGATGTGCGACAGTAATATTTCATGCAACAAGTGAATCGTTTTTCTTTATTTCTATAGGATATAATTCAGAAGGGATGTTAAAGGTATGACCATAGAACCATTTGATCGAAAATTATAGCATTACAGTATTTCTCTTTCTCTCTATCTCTCTCTCTTTTTTTTTCATATAAATTGGTACAATATATATATATAGTATTTTTTGATTATTTTTCATTGAAATTTATACAAGTAACGATATACCTATAAATATTTTTTCCAAATATTTTGCTAACTGAAAAAAAAAAAAATGATACGTGCCTGCTAAACGTAAAATCAATTTTTAATTATATATTGTCATTAAATTTATTTAATAATATAATAAATATATTATAAAAAAAATTTATAATTCGAAGATTAATCTGATTATCGTATTACTCGTTTAATAATATCTATGTGTGGTCTGCTGTGTGTATTTCAAAATACTATATAATAATTTAATATAATTCTAATAAAATATTAAACAAATTATTTTAAAGTCGTATAATCAAGTAATTATTTAAAAAAGAAATTATTTAAAAAATAAATAATTACACACACGCACAATAATAATTTAATTCAGTTGTATTTAATGTTTTCGTATTAAAATAATTAATTAAATAAAATTAATAGATAAATATTTAAAAAGTATATATATATATATATTGAAATAATTATTTCTTATAAAATATTCAATTATAAATATAAGATATAAAAGTGTATATATGTATAAAATACATTGAAAAGATTTAACATATTTACTGCATACTTACACACACGTAAATGTAAAAAGCCGGTCGCGAATCGTATGCTTTTTTCTCTCTCTCTCATGAAAACATGTTTGACCGCATAATTATTGTGACTGTCTTATTTTACTTTGTGAGACGTAGTAGTAGTAGTAGTAGTAGTTGTTCACTGGGATTATTTCTCTTGGCGCCGGTTTTCAGACGAATTCTGACGATACTTTCGTGATCGAGAACAGTAGAAGAAATATGGATGCAATGAAGACAGGCTGGTTCAGCGAGATAAACGACTTTTGGCCTGGTGTATCCTTGTCCCTCGAAGTTGAAAAGACGTTACATCAAGGAAGATCGCAATATCAGGACGTATTGGTGTTGCAAACGTTAGTGACAAATATTTGTTTATAATTTATATTCAACAAATTCTAATCATTTCGTTTGATGAACAATTACAAGACCTGTTCTTATAAATGGATATATTTGGGGTATTATTTGCAAGGTTTTGTTGTCCTTTAGTTTTGTTTTATGAATTAGTTTTAGAATCTAACAGTGTTTAACACTCTATATATGTTAATTTATATTAAACAAATTCTAATTGTTTTGCTATTTAAACAATTAGAATATCTAATCTTATAAGTGGATATATTTGGGGTACTATTTGATAAATCTTTTTGTTCTACAGTTTTGTTCTGTCAATTAGTTTTAGAATATAACAGTGTTAAACATTTTTTATGCAAATTCATATTAAACAAATTCCATTTATTTTGTTCCATAAACAATTACAAAACTTGTTCTTATAATTGGGATTTATTTGGGATACTATTTGCAAGATTGTGCTGTTCTTTAGTTTTGTTCTGTCAATTAGTTTTAGAATATAAGTGTTAAATACTTTATATACTAATTCATATTAAACAAATTCTAATTATTTTGTTCCGTAAACAATTAGAAGATCTGTTTTCTTACAATTAGATATTTTTTGGTTTGAATTGGTATCTGCAAGATTATTAAACACTTTATGATAATTCAAATAAATTTGTAATTATACTTTCTATTATATTGCTAGCAAAAATAAATTCATTATATTAAACTCTAGAGTTGAGAATTTACATTAAAAATTCAATTTATCATTTGTTTAATAATATTCATTATTAAATTATAATTTATCAGTATCGATATTTAAACTGTAATAATTTTAGAATCAAATCATTGAAATCCTTTAGGAATTTGCTTACAAATTAAAGTACCATATCATCGAAAAAATTGTATTATTTTTATTAATATTTCAAATGATAACATAATTATTTCATTGATACAGAAAAAGTTATGGGAAAGCTTTGATACTCGATGGTATAATTCAATGTACAGAAAAGGATGAATTTGCTTATCAAGAGATGATAGCTTTCATTCCTTTGTGTAGTCACCCTAATCCAAAGAACGTAAGTTTAAAATGTTGTTTCTTTTTTTATTTTCTCTAATACACACTTACATTTATTTAATAATTTATTTATTAACCTTTTTTTTTTTATAAATAGGTTTTAATAGTTGGTGGAGGTGATGGTGGTGTTGCAAGGGAAGTTGCCAAACATCCAGGTGTTGAAAGAATAGTACAAATTGAGATTGATTCTATGGTAATTGATGTTTCGAAAAAGTATTTACCCTTTATGGGGGTTGGATTTGATAATCCTAAACTTACGTTAAACGTAGGAGATGGGTTTGAATTTATGAAACAACATTCAAATGAATTCGACGTTATTATTACAGACAGTAGCGATCCAATTGGTATGTGTGAACAATTTTTTAAACATAATACCTTTTATTATTATTATTATTATTATTATTATTATTATTATATATTATATACAATATAAAAGTATTAATATTATATATAGTTTTTTCTATAATGTTTTTATTCAAATTGAAATATATTTGTGTGTGTGTGTGTGTGTAGGTCCAGCAGAATGCCTATTTCAAGAATCCTATTTTAATTTAATGAAAACAGCATTGAGACCAGGTGGTATAGTTTGTAGTCAAGCAGGTACTGCATGGATGAACTTGGATCACGTAGTTCAAACTTTAAAACATTGCAAATCTGCTTTCCCAGTAGTAGATTATTGTATCGCTTCAGTACCATCTTATCCAACAGGACAAATTGGTTTTGTATTAGGTGGACTTGGTACAGTAAGTATATATCTATATATATATATATAATATTTGTTTTTTAAAATACTTCAAAAAAAAAACTTGTTGGTTGTACAATTTATGAAGAATTAATAATTGTTTTCTGTTTGTTTTTTTTTTTTTTATTTATTAGGAAATGAATTTCAAAGTACCAACGAGGATATTTGAGGAAGAACAATTAGATGAAATGAATTTAAGGTATTACAATTCAGAAATACACAAATCGGCATTCGTATTACCAAGGTTTGTCGAAAAATCATTGAAACCGTACAGGACGACGTGAACGAGATTATCATTTGTTTTTTTTCTATTCACCAGTTTTGTTTTTTTTTTTTATTGATTTTAAAATCTTCAAGATATGTTTCTATTTGTATTTGACACTATCGATAATTGCAATATTACAACAGTATGAGAAACAAAAAACCACACATCAAACGAAATCACCGAGTTTCGTATTTTATAAATGAAATTTAAAAACAAAACAAAACAAAAAAGTTAACTATGAATTAAATGTCTCTTCGTTTAATTGACAAAACAGTTTGAAAAATGTTTTTAAAAGTCTTGTTGTTGTTTCTTTTATTTCTATCATCAAAACTCAACCTCCCTTAACTCTTTGGGTCACGGTGGGATTAAAAGTGTCGTCCCACCTTTTTGATACACCATAATGCACGGTGATGGGACATTTTTAGTCCCATCCCCAAAATCTTGCAACAGTTGCATTCTCATAAATTTATATTTCTTCTTATTTACGCAAAATAATTGGTTATTAATTCCTTTGTTTTTTTTTTAATGTTTTTACATTATTAAATTATGTAATACCGTTATTAATAAAAAATATACCAATTTAGTTTCATTTAAAACATAATCAAATTCCTCTATGCAACATAAGGCTAATTTTATTATCTGAAATTCTATGCAGCAAAGAATTTATTCTCATTGATTACAAATGCTAATTATATATATATAAATATACTGTATAAACATCCTGTATATAATCTAGATTGACAAAATAATAGATTATCGCAGTATTATAAAATCTATCGGTTCTTTTATTTAAACACATACGTATATGTTTGTTTGTTTGTTTTTTTTTTATTAATTAATATTTATTATCATTCCTACAATTATATATTATGGCACTCTCCCACGTATATAAGAATAGTAATTGATGAATAGATGAGTGTCTTTCTCTTTGATGATCTTAATTGATAATTGGTATATCGTTATTGACACTTGTCCACCATTCGGAAGAGTTAATTTTTTTAAATATTTAAAAGAAATAAAAAAATACTAAAAAGACCATAGTGATATATTTGTCAGAATTATCGAAAATTATCAAACCCTTTGAACTTATTTTTTTTATGATAACCGAAGTAACACATTTTTTATATCTCTGAATGAGAGGAAAAATACAAAATAAATAAAAAAGAAAAAAATTAAAAGTAATACGTTGAATTAATCATCATAATCATGTTTGATTATTTTCATCATTTTTTTTTTTTTTCCATTTCTGATCAATGCTATTTGCAAAATTGTTTACTCTAGTTAAAAAAACCTGTAACTTATATGAACACAAATAATATTACTTATGAATAACTAATTAATTGCACTAATCAATCGATCATCTAATTGATCTATATAATTGATAATTAAATTATACATCTATTATTATTATTCTTCTAATTCTATAACTATCTTACAAAGAATTTTTTTAATGTTAATCTATCTTACATATGATTCGAGAGATATTTACTTAAAGATTAAAAACACGTTGCAAAGATACATATGTTGTGCCCATAATTATAAAAGTGGTCTAATGTAAGTCAAAATTAATAAAAAATGAGTTTATTAATTATTACACATTACATTATTATAAACTAAATAAATTCAATGTAATTTGAAAACGATATTGTCAAATATGAATCGTCAGATAATGTTTGTTATATCAATATTATTTAGAATTTATACAGTGTTCAAATCTAAAACTGTAAATATCTCAAAATAAGAGATACATGACTTAGACCATTTTCATAATTATGGGCACACATAAAAGAGAGAAAATAGAGTAATCCATGTAATTAAAATTAAATTCGATAAACATTTCATCATTACTTTTATAAATTAGACAAAGTTTACAGTTAATATTATTTTTTGTTTTTTTTTTTTCATTATTAATATAAAATCAGGTTTATTTTCTAAAATATAAAAATGAACAATATTACAAATAATCCATGGACCACCCTGTACATACACACACACACATATGAAATAATTGATAAATGATAAGAGCCAAGCACTGTGAATAAAACATAAAATTGGGTATTAATAAAAAAGAAAAAAAATTATAGATAATAGAAAAATTAACGAAAATTGTTTTACGTGCAAACATTGAACATGAATTGACGTAAGTTTCATTAAAAAAAAAAAAAAAATAATAAAAATTAAAGAAATGAATGCAATATAATAATAATAATTGATATGTCGCGTTTCTTGTTAATTCATTTTATCTTAAGATAATATAATAAAGCTAAAATTAAAAAAGAAAGTAAGCTAAATAAAGCTAAAAGAAGGAAACTAAAACGAACAAAAAACAAAAAAAATAATCTAAAAACTATAATAATGGTCACCTAATAAAAAAACATTTCTAATATATATATATATATCATCTATTTGTCTTAGCTTAATTTTAATTAATGAGCAACATTTTGTTATTTGCTAATACGATTCGCAATTACATTTACAAGGCTAATTTAATGAAAGCGCACGCGTTAATTCTTATTTAAGGACACTTTGTTATATTTAATTAATAGATATCATTCTACCTAAAGACGCAAACAATTACGCCAACAAGCACATTTTTTCTTTTTTTTTTCAAACAAAAACAAAACAAATCTCAAATGCAATTCTCTCGTGCTAGTTAAAAATACATTTTTCTTTTTTTTTACTATTTTTTATATATATATACACATTAATTTATCTCTAAAAATGGCGGATTTAACTTTGAACAAAGTTAAACAAGTTTCAAATTTATATGGTGTCCTTATATTGAAATAAATCATGCGTAAATAATTATTCTATATACATTTCTTCATTTCTTTAATCGTTCATGCAAATGACGAAATGAAAAAAATACATTCCTAATCTCAATTTGGATTATTATTCCAATGTAAAAAAAAAAAAAAAAAAAATAAAAAATCAAAATGATACATCGTCCACAGGAGGTATTTTTATTTTGTAAAAGAAATTTGTTATGCGACAAATTCAAGACTGCATATTTTAGTATCATTTTATCAAGTTAATCAAATTCTTTAGCATACATAAAGAGAATGAAATGTGAAAGATTTCATAGAAAGGAAATGTATTACGCACACATACACATTATATTCATTTTATCCTTGTCCGCCCTCGCACACAACACAACATTTCTTATTCGTTAAACACTCGCCTACGCATTTGACTAATTTGTCAGAGCAATGATTCCATAGCCAAGTTACACACGCAGATGAGAAATATATGAAAATGAAAACACCACTCTTATATAATATTTATTTGATAGCATTACTTATTTTTTGTCTCTGGTACTGTAAAAATACGTATTTTATTAATGAATTAAAAAAAAAAAAAAAAGAAAAAATAAATGCCTATGTAAAATATGTATATATATATCTACAAGCAATGAGCAATTAATTTCTAATTAAAATGTTACAGGTTTCATTAAAAGAGTTCTCTAATATAAAAAGATGTTTGTTTGGAATAAAAGAACATTAATGGGAATAAATATAAATCTGTTTTAATCAACAACTCCCATTTTTTTTTTTTTTTTCTTTTTTTTAAAGATACCAATAAGAGTTTGTTAATTCGCGATATTAAAAGATAATTTATAATGTATTTTGTTTAATAATAATTATAACTTCTCATATGATCTCAGGTATACAAAAATTGGTCAAATATGTTTGTTTGTTTTTAGATCAAATGTTAAAAAAAAAAAAAAAAGAGAATAATGATGTGATACGTTAAAAGAGAGAGGTTACATTTGCACAACATAATTTTTGTCAAATGTACGAGTACACTTTTCGTATGATGAAATTTCTCGTTCTTGAATATACGTGAGAGAAGAACCTTTGTACTTAGCCTGTCTGATGGCAGTGAGTCTACCCCTAGCTTCCTCGAGTTCACGTTCGATACGTAAAACCTCTGACCTTGCATTAATTTCTTGTGCTATACCACCAACCATTCTACGATTTAGTATCAATGATCTATCCTCTTCTTGTTGGATAGCTTGTTGCGCGGCACGCACTAAATTATCCGTTGCCCGTTTAACCGCATTTCCAGCAGCTTGCAAACGTTTCGTACTATCGCTGTCAGGATCAGCTTTGACCTTGCAAGCAACCAAAAGTTGTGCGGTGCTACTTGCAACTTGTTTAGCACTTGAAATTAATTTTTCTTCTGAACTGACACCTTGTACCAATGCATTAGCAGATTCAACGAGACTGTGTGTAGCAGCAGCTACCATCCTTGCTGCAGAAATTAATCCTTCCGACCATTGTCCATCGTCCGAACTGGTTAATGGCGTTCGTGATACTTTTCCGGTTGCTATTAATTCTCTTTGGGCAGCGCTTGCTGCTTTTATCAAAGCCGAGGTTGCTGCGGCTATTGATTTAGCCGCTTCTAAGATCATGTCATCGAAATTCATGTCTTCGCTGGCTTCCTACAGAACAATAATACATCAAATTTAGGATATTATATAAAAATTGTTGTGCAATTTTGAAATTGTGTTTACAAGAGAAGATATTAATTAACAATTGACATTATTTCTAAAATTGAATCAATTATCGATCACAGTTGTTTCCAATAATAATAATAATAATAATAAAAGAATTATATAAAATTTGTATAAAATCTACCTGGATACTTCTTCTCGGTCTAAGACTGGCTAACTTCTTGGCAGCAGCGTCGATACTGGCCGCAGCACCCAACAATTCGTTCTCAGCGATTACGGTTGGATCGTCAGGATCAACCCAGTCGTTTCCTTTCAATAACTCAGCAACGGCCACCAATTCCGTGACGCTTTGAGCAATTTTACGTGAGATCGGTGGTAAAGTATGTTTAGCATCTCCCGATCTAGATGCTATTTGTAATATTGCCTGAAGGAGTTCTCTGTAGTTCATAGCAACGTCATGACCAGCTTGAAGTGTTCTGTCCCTTAACTCGGCCGTTTCCGCACAGTTGTAGGCGGCCCCCTTGCAAATCATCAGCATGTCGCTTATCGACTTCCTGCCCATATTTGCGGCAGCTATGATGTCGTCTTGTTTACAACTGTTACCAGCGGACACTGCCTTTGCCGTTGATATTGTAATACTTTTGGTACAACGTACCAATTCCTCAGGTGTTACGCTATTTCTTTGACCCTCCGAAGTACTCAATGCACGAATTTCTTGAGCAATAGCTTCGATCGTTGATTCCAATGCACGGGTACCTCTGGTGTGTTCATCTTCAACAGCCTTAACAGTTTTCAACAATGACGTCACATTCGTCACCATCACCTAAGAAATTGAAAAACAAGTAACACGTGAGAGTTATACTGATATTTCATTCATTTCAATTGGGAGATTGGTAAAATCTTGATGGGAACGTTATTATTTCATTTAGATGAGTTAATTTGTCCTTGCCACTATTGTGCTAAGCTGGTATATTTAAAAAAAAAAAAAAAACAGGATCAATTAAAAGCAGAGCGATGAGATAATAATAATAATAATAATAATGTCATGTGTGCGTATCATATGATGTGATTTGATTTTGTTAGCTGCCAATGAAATGTATATTATTTAGCTTGCTTTTATAGATGTTAGTTCTTGCTCGAAGTACCAGTCGAGAATTGATGATTGGGTTGGTGTGTGTGTGTGTGTTTATTAATTTGTATGTTCTTTTTTATTTGTTTTATATTGTTTTTTTTTAAGTATTTCTTTCTCTCTCTCTCTCTCTCTTTCTCTTTTGTGTAATACTTTTTCATTTGTAATCGTATTGTTTTAGTTTTTAATCGATGCCAACACAACAGCTCGCGAAAGATCTGATTAAATAAAAAAAAAAAAAAAAAGAAACAGAAAATCGTCAGTGAGATTGCTTGAAGCTTACACACTGCTTAGGATTATTACGATGTACGTACCCCAATGTT